CTGTAGAGAGGGTGAGCAGCACCAAGTTCAGCGGACCTCTCCTGGACTGACAACACTGCATCATTGGCCAGGAAAGCTCAACAATGTCTGTACTTCCTCTGCAAACTGAGAAGAGCCAAAGCCCCAGCCTCCATCATACGCACCTTTTACAGAGGCACCATCAAGAGTGTTCTGACCAGCTGCATCACTGTGTGGTACGGTGCTTGCACTGCATCCTGTAGAAAGACCCTCCAGCGCATAGTGAGAGCAGCTGAGAAGATTGTTGATGCCTCTCTCCCCTCCTTTTAGGACATTCACAACAACTGCCTGACCCACAAAGCCCTCCATATTGCCGTTGACCCCACCCATTCGTCTCACAGCTTCTTCATCTGCTGCCATCATGGAAGAGACTGCGCCGTCTCCAGGCCAGGACCAGCAGGCTGAAGGACAGCTTCAGCCACCAGGCTGTCAGGAAGCTGAACTCCCTCTCTGCCATGCCCCCCCTACCCCTCACACACTCAAACCTTGGACTCTGATCACACACACACACACACACACACACACACACACACACTACTCTCAGGGACTTGCCACTTTAACTTGTATTGCACAGCCGCTTATTATTGTCTATTTATTGTTTATGCTGTTCATTTAGTCAGAATTACATTCTATGTTTATTATCTATATCCTGTTTATACCTATATTCTACTCTTTTTTCTATTTTCTTTTTCTGCTATTTTTCTATTTTTCTACTTTTTTTTCTGTGTTCAGTTTGCACCGTGGGGCCTCGGAGTATTGCAATTTCAGTTCTCTGTATGTTGTACATATGGCAAAACTGACAATATAGCTGACTTGACCTTACTTGACTTGATATTGAACGTTCAAGCAAGTTACCAAATATGGTCACTTGCTCCATAAAGGGTTATTTTAAGTTGCTCTTTGCTAGAGGGGTTGTTTCACTTTAAAATACCTAAAAGTGTTTTACTGGATTCAAGTCAGGCAACACATTTGGCCAGATCAAATGTTTTACCTTTTTCTTCTTTAAAGACTCTTGTGTGATTATAGCAGTGTGTTTGGGATCATTATCATGTTGGAATGTTCCTCTTCTGCCACGCGCCTGCAGACTGTGAGTCATCTAGTCAGCCTGTATTTTGGTACATCCACAAGCATTCATGGTGCCTCACTGTGGAGACCATGCATTCACTGCGGTAAATCTGGCCATGTTCACTCCAAACATGCTAGACTCCATGTGAGCCAATTAAATGTATCTTGGTCTCAACTGACCAAAAAATGTGCTTCCAGCATTCGGCAAGCTTCTTTTCATGTCCTTTATTGGTTTAACTTTGTGATTTTTTTGATGAAGAGCAAACAAGAGGATGAGGAGGAGCTTCTTCCCTCAGGCTGTCTGCCTGCTGAACCTGAAACAATAGACTCAATAGACATTCAAACTGGTCACTTTGCACTTTTCACCTTGTATATATACACATGTATACAGTATTATTATTATTTCCTCTATTTGTTTATTACCTTTTTGCACTGTCTGGAAATTTGATTTATTTGTTTCTGCTATTTCAATCTCTCTCTCCCAAAATACACTATGTTGCCAAAAGTATTCGCTCACCTGAATTGATTCACAAATGAACTTAAGTGACATCCCATTCTTAATCCATAGGGTTTAATATGACGTCGGCCCACCCTTTGCAGCTGTAACAGCTTCAGCTCTTCTGGGAAGGCTGTCCACAAGGTCAATGAGTGTGTTTATGGGAATTTTTGACCATTCTTCCAGAAGCGCATTTGTGAACTCACACACTGATGTTGGACAAGAAGGTCTGGCTCTCAGTCTCCGCTGTAATTCATCCCAAAGGTGTTCTATCGGGTTGAGGTCAGGACTCTGTGCAGGCCAGTCAAGTTCATCCACACCAAACTCTCTCATCCATGTCTTTATGGACCTTGTTTTGTGCACTGGTGCACCTTCATACTGGAAGAGGAAGAGGCCATCTCCAAACTGTTCCCACAAAGTTGGGAGCATGGAATTGTCCAAAATCTCTTGGTATGCTGAAGCATTCAGAGTTCCTTTCACTGGACTTAAGGGACCAAACCCAGTTCCTGAAAAACAACCCCACACCATAATCCCTCCTCCACCAAACTGTACACTTTGCACAATGCAGTCAGACAAGTACCGTTCTCCTGGCATCCGCCAAACCCAGACTCGTCCATCAGATTGCCAGATGGAGAAGCGCGATTCATCACTCCAGGGAACGCATCTCCACTGCTCAAGAGTCCAGTGGCAACGTGCTTTCCAACACTGCATCCGACGCTTTGCATTGCACTTGGTGATGTATGGCTTGGATGCAGCTGCTCGACCATGGAAACCCATTCAATGAAGCTCTCTGCGCACTGTTCTTGAGCTAATCTGAAGGCCACATGAAGTTTGGAGGTCTGTAGCGATTGACTCTGCAGAAGGTTAGCGACCTCTGTGCACCATGTGTCTCAGCATCCTCTGACCCCGCTCCGTCAGTTTACGTGGCCTACCACTTCGTGGCTGAGTCGCTGTCGTTCCCAAGTGGAAGTGTCGCTTCCACTTAATACCACTGACAGATGACAGTGGAATATTTAGGAGCGAGGAAATTTTACAGCTGGACTTGTTGCACAGGTGGTATCCTATCACAGTACCACGCTGGAATTCACTGAGCTCCTGAGAGCGACCTATTCTTTTTACAAATGTTTGTAGAAACAGTCTGCATGTCTAGGTGCTTGAATTTATACAACTGTGGCCATGGAAGTGATTGGAACATCTGATTTTGGTTATATTTTGGATGGGTGAGTGAATACTTTTGGTAATATAGTGTATATATATACATTCATATATATATTTTTACTTCTTGTGTGTTTTATTCCTTATTCTTATTTATCTTTATTTATCTTATTATTATTGTTTCGGTGTGGAACAGGTACACAACGCATTTCACTGGGCATTATACCATGTATAACTGTGTTTGTGACCAACAAAAGACCTTGACCCTTAAAAAAAAAAAGTCTAATGGAAATGTATAGAAATATGAAGACCTAACATGTAGTTTTGAGAAATTCAATTCTTATCTGAGAAATGTACCAAAGCGACTGTACCAAACTGTAAATGACTATTGTTACGATTGAAAAACATTTTAAATGAAGAAGTTCCCATTCTGTTGTTAGAACAAAAATTCTCTTACATTACAGAGTCTTGTTTAAATCTGATGTTCTGGTATTTCCATAGCTGTGACTTTGTGTTCAGAAGAATGACATTTAAACTGCTGACAAACCATTAATAATAGTATCATTAAACAAGAATAATCAATAATACATGAAGTTTCAGAGGATGGTCATCAGCTTTGCAGTTATAAATGTTAATGTGACATTAATTGGGATTTTTGTTTTTCTACTTTCATTGATTCACTAGTAAAAGTTGCTCCGTCTCCTGCATATGTTAATAAATCATTATTAATTTTCAAAGATTAGGCTCAAGCACATGTGGGAAACTGTGAAAGCTTTGATATGTTCAGTCGTACTAAATACTAAATGAGGAAGCCTAGGACTTGCTGATTGAACAATCCTGAAGAAACGCTCTCTCATCTTGCCTGTACTACTGTGTATGTACAGCAAAATGACAATAAACCTGATTTGATGTGATTTTGATTTGATTTTTTGACAGAAAGATGCCTGTGTATATTCTCAATCACTCAGGTTGTGGTAGTCCTACCAGCTTCAGTTGAAGACAACTGGACTTCTCTTTGTGCTTCTTAAAAATGTTTCACCTTCACCCAAGAAGCTTCTTCAGTTCTACCTGATGTTGGGGAGTTTCAGTTATATATTGTCTCCTCCAGATGAAATGGTTAATGGACCATTAACAACACAAGACTCACATGTGTTGAGACAGGAAATGTGAAACCACCAGCCTGTGTAACAATGGCTGTGAAAGTGTCGGGTCAGGGGTGGTTCAACACGTTTGACATGGTGAAAGTTTCTGGGAAGAAGTCTCCACACTACGCTGTAGATACTCTAGACACTTAATGGTGAAAATAATCATTATAGAATAGAAATACAGTCGTCCTCAAATGTATTCATACCCTCCCATTAAAGAAGGAAAAAAAACAGCTGTCACTGAAATAAGTTGAAATTGACAAAAGTAATAATACATAAAAAATTAGTGAACATCATGACATTTCTTTTGACTTGTGGTTCAACAGAAATATTAAAAACAAACAAACACACAGACAGACAAAAAATAAGCAAACAAGCATGATGGGACCCATAAACTAATATTTTGTTAAACAACCCTTTGAGCCAATCACTGCAGTCAAGTGTTTTCTGTAACTCTCAGTCAGACTTCTGCACCTGTTGACAGGTGTTTGGATTTCAGCCCACTGCTCATCAACAAAGTGCTCTCATTTGTCTGGGACAGTTTTTTATTTTTTTAATTATTCTTTTCACCCACAATTCAAAAGCAATGTCTTATTTCACTAAATTAAAAGTTAACAAATTTATATATATTGTTACTTTTTTTCAGTTTCTAGTTATTTGAGTGACTATTATGAGTTTTGCCTTTGCTTTAATGGAAGGATATGAATACATCTGAGGACGACTGTGCTTTGTTTATCCCAGACCTGGGAAATTATTTAGTCACAGCAGCAAAAGGAAAAACACCAAATGACAAGTTAGAAAATATAGTAAATGAAGTCTATAAAAATAGAATAATAAAAAAGGGCTGAAGTGAACACAGTGTGGCAGACTGAGAGCAGAGTGACTGTTTCTAAACTACTTGTAGTTCTATAGAACAGTGAAAAATTAACTAGGTATTATATACAAACACTAAGAAACAGACAGTACGCTTCGCTCTGGCCTCGTCACACCGACCACAGTCCAGTCCAGTCCAGAGGGAGCCCCCTGGCTGGTCCTGGTCCTGGTCCTGGTCCGGGGAGCGGAACAGCGTGTCGGAGCCGAGGCGGGCCGGTCCCCGCTGCGGGGCTTCCGTGTCACTTCCGTGTTCTTCAGTAGGAGCTGAAGCCTTAGCACGGGGCGGACACGTCCGGACTTCTTACTGTCACTACTTTTATTCCATCGAAACACCGTTAAATGTTGAAGAAGAACATCTAAAGTCATCGCTCCGAGTCGACACAAAGTTTGGGGCCATGTCTGACCGCCGAGACGAGGACGAAGCGGCGGGAGAGCCGGAGCCGCAGGGCGCCGTGGGCGGAGAAGGTATGTGGAGCCATGTCGGCGCTAAACAAGTCACGATAACGCGTTAGCCTACAGGTACCGTCATGTTCTACCTCAGCTGTGAACACGGTCTGTGTCCCTCATTTAATCCTTTGGTACGGAACCGACCCGACCGGACACCGCTGCTTCCGGGTGGACTAAGCGGGTCGGTGCTGGTCGGAGTTGGGCCGCTTCTCGCTGACAAACTTGTGGAACTGAAAGCCAGCTGTGTGATTTTCTGACTGTTTGCCGATAAGAGAGGCTGTTTAGAGAGCCTCCAGTCCGCTCTATGAGCTTCATGGCCCCGGAGCGGACACGGAAATCTGTGACCAGCAGCTCCGTCCGGTGCGGGTCTCTGGAACCGACCTGATGACAGTTTTACAAAGTCTGCTGGTGGTAAACAAAGTCATAAAAGAGGCCGATCTGAGCCGACTCATGCCTCTGGTCCTAGTCCTGGTCCTGGTCAGACTATTCACTTACAACAGCTGATCTTTTATGAACATGAGGTTCAGCAGCAGGACAGCTACGTTTGTCCGACACCAGTATGGACTTTATTCTGGGAGGCCTGGAGGAACTGCTGGGACTCAAAACCCACAAGTATGAGTGATCAAAAGAACAAGGCTGCAGAGTGTCTAAATCACACCAACACTGGTGTTCTTAAGTGTTAAATCATTTAATCTGATCTGTAATCCTGCTGACTTTTTTCTGATATGTTCTGATTATTGTATTTTGGTTGTTTTTGTAGTTTTCCTCACGCCTTGGATCTTGGAATTCTGTGATTAAATCTTCTCAGTTTCTGTTAAAGCTTCGATTGTTCAGTAATGTAGATGTTAAAATATAGTGCAGTGGGAAAAAATGCGACTGTTGTAATTATAATAGTTAAATGTGGTCAGACTGCAGCTTAAACAAACTAGTTACGGTACAAAGGACGCTCGAATGCATAATGAGAGGCTGCTGATTAGAACATCTCATGGTGAAGGCTTCACAGACATCCTCATGTTTCCCTCACACACTGTAGTGTTGTTTTACATCTCCTGGCATCTCTTATATGGGCACAGAAAGAGTACTAATATCACGAATCAAGGTGCTGGGCACAGCAAAGTGTTCTTTTGCAGCAAATTCTATTACTTTCTATAAACTATATGTCACTAGTACCAAAGCAGAAAATGTTCTGCTGGAAGGGCTGCTCTTCTTTGTCCTGCACACTTGTTTCCTGGTATCATGGTGCTGCTGGAGGTGGAAGTTGCAAAGCTGTTGTTGCAGTTGTAAAGCAAAAGCAAACGCAAGCCAGTAACAAGTGTGAAACTACTTAGTGGTTCTACTGCCTGGCATTGTTGTGTGTGTGTGTGTGTGTGTGTGTGTGTGTGTGTGTGTGTGTGTGTGTGTGTGTGTGTGTGTGTGTGTGCGCAATTGTCACATCACATCAAGTGTGATGTGAAGTAAGGCAAGGCAGCTCAGCCATGATAGATCTTTTTTTCTTCTTCTTCGCTGTTTGGAGTGTGTTTAACATGCAGGCTCTGCACATGCACAGCAAGATGAGCGACAGACAGAAGAGACACACTGATATGGACGATTTGATTGCCAAACGAAATGCAGCATCAGTTGTAGGACTGCGTAATTAATTGAATATTGTTTAGAATTGCGATTTTGGCTTCCTACAATTAACTGAACAAGATCAGCTGTGATATTGATGCTTAAAATGCTTTGCTCATAGAAAACAGCCCTTGTAGATAAAACCATCTAATTTCAACTTTGGTAAATCTGACATTAAAACACTTTATTTTACTCTTTTCAAATGAATTTGTCACACATCTGTCTGACTTGCTGTGCTGTAGTAACTGAGTAGAACCCAGAAGCCTCTCTGTGCACAGCCAGCAGCTGGTTTTCTGCTACAACCTGCATGTGATGTATTTTAGGAACATATTATATGTCTATTAATAATACTCAGTATTGCTAATTTGTGTTTTGGGTGCAATTTTATTTATATTTAGCCTCTAGAAGATGCTCTGAATTCAAGTGAAGGATATTTTAAGTCTTAAGTCCTGTGTTGGATGTTGCTCCATCATGACGGAAATATGCTCAGTTCCTTCTTTGAAGTGTCCTTGTTTAACCAAATCCTTCTTACATGATAACAGTATATTTTTATGTTTGAATGAAATCTAGTTTTTGTCATTTTGTCATAAATATTCCCTTTTAAAATAAATACTTTCCTGTCAGAACATCCTGTTCTCTTGCTGTGTTGTAAGGTTGTTTGTTCTCATGCAAAGTTAGCATTTCTTGTTCATACAAGACATGAAACATGCTGTTTGTTGGGTTGCACCAAGAAACTACCATTTTTTTGTAATGGTGGTTGAATTTCACCTCTGGATGTAAAGAATATTTTTGATTTGAAAGGAATCTGATATAAATAATCCGCTATTGATTTTCTGGCTCTTTCAGACGTTCTTGATGATCCCATCTTGGAGCAGGGAGCAGTGGTCCTCAGAGGGTAAGTCTGAACACTGTGACTTGCTAAAGAATCATACCAGTGTATGCTTTTCTTTTTCCTTTAGAGATATATCACATTAATTAATGTAAGTCGTTTTTATTTTTGCTTTGTGTGATGATAAATTGCGTCACCTGCCACCAGTCTTCACTCCGCACCTCTTTGCTTCCAGACTCCTGGACTTTCACTGTAACAACAGGCATGCTGTGGTCAGTTTGCTTTCAGGATAGGGTCACATTTTTTAAAATCCATCTTGACACATCACAGACATACCTGTATGTATATCAAAAAAAGTTAGCGGTTGCTCTAGTTGCTCCTCCTGTCCATACTGACTGCAAAGAGATCCTGTCTTAACATAAATTAAACTGTAAATGAGTGATGACACAACCTGCAGTCCTTAGTCTGTGTAAAAATGTATTCCAAAGTTCAGCTGAAGTTGATATGAGGTTTCATATTGTAAATATGAAGTTATGCAAGTGTGAGTGTGTCGCTCATTGCAGTTGCTCCGGCTTGTTTTCATTTTTATTTTTATTTTTAAAAACTTCTGTTCGCTTTACTTTTTGTCACACTGTTTGGCTATCTGACTGTTTTAGGCTGTGCCATGCCCAGACACCCTGGTTGGAATACTTCCGCTCTATTTTTTGCCGTCTTATCGCCTCTTTCATTCAAAGTGGAGTGAGCCTGAAGTTTCCTAGCAACTCCACGCTAACGTTATTTGTACCACGGATCAGCTGATCATCCTGAAGGCAGCTTGCATGGCGATCTAAAAAACATTTCCACAGAGGAGGACATGCAAAGGAGGAGCAAAGCAACGAGACAAAGGAGCTGGTCTGGACTGCAGAGACTCATAGAGAACTGCAGACATAAGCCATAACTTCCTTCTGTCTGGTCACATTGCCTCGAAGGCACCTTTCTGCAGTACAGACACTGAACTGTTAGCAGTGGGCCTATGTCCATCATACATAGGAGAAACCAGGAGTTTCAAAGCCTTCCTGGCTGTTTACATCCATCTGTCTAACCTGGCAACCATGTGTGACATCATCCACCAGACTGTGCACCCCACTGCTTCCTTGATGATTTATGGGGACTTCAATCATATAATACGGGACAAGACTTTCCCACTCTATCCCAGCTCTTAAAATGAATGTTCCCTGAGGGAATTGGTAAAGGTTTTCAGGGTCTGATTGGCAGACTGAATTACACTAATCACGTTGGGTTGGTTTGAAGGAACAGCTCTTTTAGGGGGAGTGTTAATGATGTGCTTCAATGGCCACTGGTTTCTTGGTGCAGAGGAGCTGCAACATCATCCACAACATTGATAGTAAACTAGACTAACTTCTGACTTGATGTGGCTAACTTGTAGTCCTGAAGCCTCGTATCAGGTGAAACTGAACTTTAAACTGCATTTCTCACAGATCAAAGACATCACTTAGGGATGTTCTGATGTAAACTATGGCTAAAGTTTTAATGACAATTATTGTAAATTGTGAGTTACACCTCAGTGTGTGGGGGAAATTGATGACAAGAGACTGGACAAGATTCGAATTTACACTTCTACTGTTTGTACTGTAATTTGTTGACAGACCATGTCACTGCAACACAGAAAGGAAAAGACAGCACTGCATAGCACAAAGAAAAAACAAAAGTAGAAATGTGAACACTGGACTATCTCCTTAGGGAAAACTGTACATGCAGTGCTGTAGGAAATACAGTGCAGTCTTCCTCTATACTTGCCAGTTGATGGTTCATAAAATGCAGCTTTGAGCCATTTCAGAAAACTGGTTGATCATTGGTTGATCTATGTGATGCTACACACATTTAACTTCATCAGAGAAAGTCAAGATTCACCTGAGAGCAACTTACTAATTCAGGACAGATTAAAACAAAGTCTAATGGAAATGTATATAAATATGCTCAACATATTATGACAACTTGTTCAACCATTTTGCATGTAAAGACTAATGAACTAATGCCTAAATGTTGTGGGGGTGAGACTATTGAACAGAGACCCATTATCATACATTTTGATCAACATGACAAAAGAAATTGATAATGTAGGAAACAACAGAGAATTGTACATAATCATTTGCATGGATGTACCAAAGCATCTAGAACTTGTTCAAAGAAATGAGAAACTGCTTTTTGATGTGCACAAGTGACACAATGATGTGAAGATTAAACAAGTAGTTTTGAGAATTTAAATTCTGATCTGAGAAATGAACCAAAGCGACTGAGAAAAACTGTTTGATAGTTTAGTGAACCTTTTCTAATGAGTAACAAAAGGAAATGTCATCAAGACAGCAGTCTGTTACTAAAACCAGCCATCAGTCTTCATATTGCAGGTTTTGCTAACTTTAGTTTGCTACCATGTGATTGTGGTGCCTGCAGACTATAAATTTAAACTAGCTTATTGCTGCATTAAAAAAAGATACTGTTCAGAAAGTAATGGCCTATCTCCCTAGTCACACATCTAAACAATTTTATTGAATGGCATGATGTTGAAAACATGTATAACCTTTGTGAAATGAAACTGTCATGCTTTTAAGCTAGTGTCACCTGGTGTGTGAACTGCTAGTAAGAAAATATTTCTAGTATTTTGTTAGTCAACCGTTGTCCCTGTCACAGGTATGTGATTGAGCGTATAAACACAGAAGACCCCAGTCGGAACGTCTCCTCTGAGGACCTGGGAGGAAGACCAGATGAACTACAGGATCCACAAATTAAAGAAGTGGTGGACCAGCTGCTCAAGATAGCTGATGAGCTGAACAGGAACGCTGAGCTCCAGCGGTAAGCTGTGCATTGTATAAGAAGACAGCCACCTCAACCAGCAGATCCTTTGGTTACTGGTTAACTATCACTTGTCTCATCAAACTCTGTCAGTATAGACACATACTGTAGCTGCTTTGGGCAGATTGAGAGTGAAAAACTTAACTTCCCTGTTACCTGTTGGTTCACAGTTTTCAGTGCTTAGTATATAAGACATTTTTTGAATAATTCACAAACATTTGTGTGCATGCCTGAGGAGTGCCTTTGATCACTGGCACTGAAATGCAGGTTTGTCTGTAAGTTATGTTCCTTCACCTGTTTCCTCAAATCCTGAAAATAATTTAAAAAGTCAGAAAATCAAAACATCACCAGTTAGCAACACACGCTCAATGGAAACATGAAGTTACATGAACCATGTTAGATGAAGGCCACTTCACTTGCAGTGAAGGCATAAGATCTGTAGAGAGACTGTAACTTTTGATATCTGATTACTATCGTGTTTTCACACAGTTTTCCAACATTTCAACTCTGAAAGGAGTTCTGTCAATGAGGCCATCTTGATGTATTCTCGTCCTTTGCAATGCTTTAGTGGCACTGACTTGAGAATTGGTGCACCAGCTGAGTGCAGTAAGGACAGCAACTTTATGCAAAAATTTGTTCTACACTTGGATGTAAACTTTGCTTGTGTTGCTTCTAAATTGTAACTTTGTTTAACTCTGAACCCTTCCAGATAAACAGTCAAAGTATGAAAGGTTAGCAGTGTTTGCTGCAGTATGTATGGCATGATCAACATTTTTTATAAATATGAATATGGAAACAAGTCGCACTGTTGGACTATGAACTAGTCAAATGAGCTAAAGGGATATCACAGTGTATACTGTAGTATACTAAAAGAGAATTACCTCACCCTGTTTGCCATGGATTTTACTGCAACTTTGGAGACTTAAACAAAACAACAATAACACTGGTGTACAGGCCCATGTCTACTATGAATGCTTCTTGGGCAAACTTGACATAAATCCGTAAAGTGAAATGAATTCAAATTGTTGTTGCATTTGAATGTGTTCTTTTTTGCTTTTTCTTTTTCAGACTGATCAACCAGGTTCAGAGGAACTGTGCTCAGGACATCTTCATGAAGGTGGCCAGGAGCATCTTTGCTGATGGCATTAACTGGGGTCGAGTGGTGGCTCTCTTCCATCTGGCCTACAGACTTATATACAAGGTGATGCCTCCAGTTTATTAATTTGTTTCAGCGAAATAACAAATAATCTGCTGTTTCTACAGATGTGTTCCAACACCCATATTACCATACTACAGCATGTAGTATGCCAGAAATTGATGTAGTGTGTCCCAATGCATAGTATGTCAAATGCAGGATGCCAAAAATACCACCTGGTGTCATTTTGCAGTATGGAAGTCAGCTGAATTTGTATTTTTTTAATTTATTCAACCTCTATATAACCAGGAAGTCCCTTGAGATTAAAATCTCCTTCTGGAGGGAAACATGGCCAAGAAGGTACACATACAGAATTTATTGGCCATTCTCACCCATAGTCCTCTGTGCAGCAGAAGATCCATCACATACATACCAGTCTGTTGCTAAAGTTACAAGACAGGAGATTTTTCATATTGCTGACTGTGACAGATAAATGAGCAAAGCGATCGAGGTCACAATATTATGATGAAGCAATAACTTCCAACTGCATGCACAGTGCACACTTTGTAAGGGCAGCTGTCATACATAATGAAAGGAAAAAGAGAAAGTACATGATTTGGAATCCAGGGGATGTGCAGGTTCCACTCTAATGGCTGCACACAGCTGCTAGCTTGAGTTCGCTACAGAGTTAGCTGCCTGTTGCAGCAGGGGCACATATAGTGTAGCTGATTGATCACTGAAGTATCAAGCATCACAAGCTGACAAACTCAGAGAGGCTCTGATTAGCATTTGTTTTTTGTTTAAAGGCTCTGACCACCAATCATCTAGAGAACATCAGAATGGTGATTAGCTGGGTTCTCCAAGTCATCAGAGAGCAGCTCTACGCCTGGCTTGTACAGCAGGGAGGCTGGGTAAGTGGTGCATTGTCCATAAAGCTCTGTCGTAAATGTTCTGTATGGACTTGTCAGAAGGATCCAAAGCTCCTAACCCTGTTCTCTTGATCTTTCTAGGAGGGGGTGATCCGTAGTTTTTCTCGATGGAGGACAGTAGCCATAGTAGCATCAGTGGTACTGGTGGCAACTTTTGTTTACTACAGGAGGACACGCTGACAATGTCAGACCTCACAGCCAAGACTGCAGTCCCATCTCCTGGATATATGCAGCTTGTTTATAAAGACCGTTTCTGGGACATTAATTACAATCACTCCTCATCCTCCCTCTCATTAAAAAGAGGAGGTCAAGTATTTCACTTTTCTCAGGTTTTCAAGAACAAAAAAAAGTGCTTTTACAGCCAGTTGTCCACTTGGCATCTCTGTCTTCCTTCACTAGCAGCTAATCAGGACCTTCCACAAATTACAGAAGCTGCTGCTACAAAACCTGCAACAGCCAGTTTGGAGGCCATCAGCTGCTGAGCAGCAGATGATGTTGTAGAAGTGGGACATACTACAACTGTCATCAAAGCCGAGGAGCCGACCTTACCTGAACGGCGTCTGAGGCTCTGGGTGGGGTCTTGGCCCTGAGCAAAATTTGGATTAGACAAAGGACATGGAGAGTAGGGCTGCTCCATTATTTAACACGATTATTCATAGACTTTGAAATCATGCATTTAATAAACTTTTTAAAAGGAACTTTAGCTTTTTAGCATTAAACTTTCATAAACTTTAAATATAATTCAGAACAAATAAAAAGATAAATGCAAAACAAAAATGAAATCAGGTTGTCTGCACCAGGTTCTCTACAGACATACTGTGTGAGATGACCAGTGTACGGCCTCACCCAGCCCTGTCCAAACCTCTGCACCAGCCAGTGGTGGCTATCTGACACTATCTGAGGTTTGATGCAACAGGTTTGATTCATTGCCCCATCTAAAGAAGGGACTTGAAAAATTACCCTAAGGACAACACTGACATGATTTTTCTTAATACAAGCAATCAAAATTCAGCAAGTGCTTGACCAAATTGTGTGCTGACTTCATGTCAGTTTACAAATTTTAATGTTGTGTTTTGGCCTAAAGTTAGCCATGTTGGTTCTTCAGTTAACCAGGCTCATGTCTTTATACACATGCATGTCAACAGAGGAAAGATTTAAGTCCTGACTGTTTAGAGTCCTGACTGGATAAAGTACCAAATACCAGCACTCTGCACCATGGAAAATGCTATTTCTGTTTTTTTTTGTTTTTTTTTAAACAGACGTGGTCCATCTCAGGTTCATAGATAGACCATTCTTTCAGGCCTACTTAGATCAGTGCCGTGCAATAAGTAAAGGGAATGTGACTTCTTGTGTTTTGATCTGTCCTACTGGTTTGCAGCTCTATTGATGAGCTAAAGTTCTTTTAGTGGCTGAAATACTTTACTGCTTGTGGCAACTTATGTTTACAGCGAGTTGCTCCTTTAGTTAACCTTTATGAGTGATCCCCTCACCATCACCATACTGTGAAGACATCTGAATTGCACACTGACTGGTAAAGTCCATACTAACTGTAACACTGCCTGATTTGAGGGCAAAACAGCAGTTTGTTCTCTGCTTGTGTCCATAGAAACAAAACAAAAAAAGACAGATTCGAGGTTTCTGCATTATGCTGTAGTGTGGATCGGAAAACATTTTGAAAGCACTGGTGTGTGACTGACAAATGCAAGACTCTGTTCCAGGAGTGTTAAGAAGCTGATTTCTGTTGCTTCTATGGCTGAAGGTTTCCCTGTTGTATGTAAACATCAGAAGTCTGATCTGACTGAGGAACTCTCATGAAACGCTATCAGCCTTTGTTAGAAGGTTTATCACCTACCACCACCAAATCATTGCCATGCAGTTTGTCACAGCAAATTACACCAATTCAAAATGCACAATATGAGTGAGTGAAAGGCAACAGGACAGTTGTTAAACCTACTGATGACAACCTGTAACCACCTACAGTCCCTACTGTCAACATGTCTACAACTTGTAATATGTGACTTTTTATCCTATCCTTTTTTTTTTTCTTGTCTGTCTTGGAGCTCAGAATAACAAGGGCTTGAAGTTGTGTGTAGCTTTTTCTTTTCTTTTTTTTTTTTTTGTTGTAAAATTTGCCTTTCCTTGCATCACAACAGAACTGGCTTACTGATCCAACACAAGTCTCCTGCTCTTTTGTCATTGTGGTTGTCATGGACAGTATTCAACTCCATCTTCACACACCCACATCTCCACTGGGCCTGGATCATGAACAGATGCTAGTAGATTTTTAAGCCTATAAAACTTGTGTGGCCGTTGAGAAATGATTTTTAAAAATCTATGTATACCTTGTAAAGTAGACAAAGGGGAACAGAAGTTTAGTGAACAAGAATATGTTTTCTGTGTTTCTGTGGGAATAAAGCTTTATATATAAAGAGCTAATTATTTAAACTAGTGCCTTTTATGCATTACAGTATGTAAGGGTGTTTTTGCTACCAGCCCGAGCTCTTTGAGAGGGAAATCACACTATCTGTTCTTTTGTAGCACCTGTTTAAATTGTAGCCTGATGACTTTTTTTGTTGGAAAAGTGATTTGAATGGACTAGATTTCTGTGAATAAATTTAAAGTATGTTAGACTGCTCACGGAGTGAATGTTCTTTATATATATGGGATATATAGTAAATCACAAGTAGACTTAGATGTAATTTATGTATTAACATGGTCATTGCATTAGCAAACATGTAAAGTGGAAAAACTGCCATGTAAAGATGCTGAAATCATTTTTATACAGATGTTTTACCTTTTCATGCAACATGACAACATGCACAAATCAGCAGTTTAGTCAATCCCACACAGCATGATTATGTCCTTTGTATTATTTCCTAATTTGTTCTGCAAAGGTTAGTTTATGGTAAGCTGAGTCCAGCGTGTTGTGTTAAAATGTAATATGAATAAATCACATTATTTCTGGTAGTATAGGGAATTAGGCCTTCATGTTGGAAAGCAGAATTAAAACAACTGTAAAAAACCAGAAGAATGACAAGATTCTTAAATGCGCTGTAGAGCTACAGAGTTCAGAACTATGAACAAACACTTTCCCATGACATAAAGTTATAGAATTTTGATTATTATTGTAGAAAATAGCTTTAAGGAACAGCTACTGGTAGTTTGTAAAAGTTAGTTTTAGTACAAAATGATGGAATATGTGAGCCCATCTAACAGGCCTCAGTGATCTCTGTTTTTCTGAGCTCAGCTCTTGGACAGGATGTCAGCTTGGCACAAGATATCGCACGGATCATTCGTCACACTCCCCTTTGAGGCACTGATCTTCTGGTTTTGTTTCATTTGACTGCAGTATTTGTCTTTAATATTGAATAGTTATGCCACATTTTTAAAGCTGTAGATTATCGCCACCTTTTTGGAAAAATCTGGAACAGAACTGTAGCAACATTTCAGCTTTGCAAATGGAGGACTCTTTATGCAACTATTTAGATTTTGTTGGCAAAACATTAACAACACAGATGTACTTTAGTTAGTGTTCTGCTTTATGTTCATGTTTTTCATAGTGCATAATTCTAGCATCATTTACTTATCATTTATTTGTTTCGTTGTTACCTATAAATGCTTCATCTGTAGGAGAGACCGGGGCTTGTTGTCACATGGGTAACTTGTCACGTTGCAAATATCTTCTCCACCAGAGGGCGCAACAAAAAAGTGGAATACTAGTTTTCTTTCTTTACATGGTCAAGACATGTCCTGTCTGAGAAGAGAATAGCACATTGTGAGCACCAATTAATCATTTTGCACAATCCAAAGTTAAAAATATCAACTTGATATATTCCAAAATAAGCTTCTTTCAGGTTGTTTCGGGACTGCAAGACATTCACGCCAGCTGAAATACAGAGTCAGACAGCTGTCCCAACTACAGCGGTTGGGTAAAAATCACCTCGGCTGGTTTTTAGCACAGAGTTGGAACTGCAGCTTGAGAAATGTATTAAAAGACCAGCTGACATCTATTTTGGTTTGTCTCCGACTGAGGTGAGAAAGCTGGCATACAAATTTGCAGTGGCACAGGACCTGCAATTTCCACAAGCTTGGTCTGACAAAGAAAAAGCCAACGATGAGTGGTGTACAGGCTTCTTAAAGCGGCATCCTTCACTCTCAGAAAACCAGAGGACACTAGACTCGCCAGAGCTAGTGCATTTAACAAGGAGAATGTCAAGTCTTTGTTTGACAATCTGGAGAAAGTGTTAACCAGATGTTCCCTGGGACCAGAAGATATCTGGAACATGGATGAAACTGGTGTGACTATGGTACAGAGAGCAGATTGATTGGTGGCCAGGAGTGGGTTCAAGCAGGTGGGGTCACTGACATCTGATGAAAGGGGTTCCCTGGTGACACTTGCTTGTGCAGTCTCAGCCACAGGGAACAGTATCCCTACCTGCTCCATATTTCCCCGGGTGCACTTTCGTGATCACTACAACAATGGGCCGCCCGGCAGCAAAGGAGGAGCAAATCCCACAGGGTGGATGAAAGAACCACACTTTGTTGATTTCCTCAAGCATTTTGTGAAACATGCCAAGTGCTCAAAGAAGAAGCCCTGCTTGCTTCTTCTGGATAACCACTGCTCACATCTTTGTATTGATAGGCTAAGATTTGCCAAAGCAAATGGCATCATTATGTTGTCTTTCCCAGCCCACTGCTCACACAGGCTGTAGGACAGAAGTGTTTATGGGCTGCTTATAAAGCATGTGAACTCTGTCTCTGATTCCTGGATGAGGAACAACCCAGGTAAAACACTCACCATCTATGACATCCCTGGGATTGTGACAATTGCTTATCCTCTGGCTGCAACCCTACTGAATATTCAGGCTGGCTTTTGGGTGACAGGGTTTCAACCTTACAACAGGGACGTGTTCTTGGAGACAGAATTTGTACCATCTTGCGTGTCAGATCGCCCCTATAAGAACCCAGCTCTACGAAGCCTAAGCACAAAACCCAGCCGTTCCAGGCTCCGAAACTGACCCATTTTTTCCAGGTCTCAGCACTAACTCATCCATTCTAGGCCCAAGCACCAACCCAGACCTTCCAGGACCCAGCACTTAGCCAGCTACTCCAGGCCCGAGCACCAACCAAGCCATTCCAGGCCCGAGCACGCCAGCCATCACCTTATCCTTTTGTAGTCATACCACCACCACCACCACCAACACATTAACTCCAGAGGATATTAGGCCTTCCCCAAAAGCTGGTCCAAAAAAAGAAAAAAGTTAACCAGCAGAGAAAAAAAGAGAAAAACTGCTATTCTCACAGACAGACCTGTGAAGGAGGTACTTGAAGCTGAAAAGCAGGCACAAGGAAAAAACGTCTATTTAAAAAGAAATACAAGGCAACCAAATCCAAAATGCCAAAGAAGATAAGCACAGGGAAGAAAAAGAGGGCAGGTACAAAAAGAAAAACTCCAGATGACTCCTCTTTAGAAGAAGATAAGTCCCTGTGCCTGGTCTGTGTTGAGCCATTTGGAAACAGCCGCCCATGAGAGACCTGGGTGCAGTGCATAATATGCAATGGATGGGTCCATGAAAAATGTACCCCTGGCAAATCAGTCTACATATGCCAGAACTGTGATTTGGATATGTCTGACTTGTGACTAGTTTAAGAAAAGGTAAAACAGGCATTTGAGGCAGTCTGGACTTTAATCCAGTGCATGTTATATATTGTTTTGTGTTATAGTTTGTTCAATGGCCATGTTCAATGACTTCTTCAAACTCAACGGTAAACATTGTCTGTGTCTGACTTCAATGTTCACTTTCAAGTAAAAAAAGGACAGCAATAATTTTGTCCTTGTTTTGTTAGTTGCCAAATCCAGTGTGACATCTTACCCCGTATAATGAGACAACTTACCCCATGATGGGGCAACATGTCACATGTTCACACTCTCCATTTGGTTGCCTGTAACTCTGCACTGACAAAAGATGTGAAAATGACATTAATACAAAATATATACCTGAGAGTTGGTCTTTCATCTGGTACACATTTTTATTTTATATGATGTACTGATTCCAATAAATATATGAGTGTAAAAAGTGTGACAACAAGCACCGCTCTCCCCTATTGGTTTGCTGCTGCGTCAGTTGTGTTATGGGTGTAATTGGTGTTGCTGCCTCTGGAGGTCGCTATGGGGCTTTTGAGGGACACTTCCATTATTACAATAATTACAACACAAGGGGTTTATATTCTGTGGTTTATGAGTAAAGGGACCTTCCAGCTTCAATTATCTTTCCTATTTAATTAGTGAATGGGATGCAATTATTCCCTCTGGCAAATAAAGAAGTGAATAAGCCTGATGAATATGAATTTGGCATCCCTGTAGCTGAAGTCCTCGTCTCTCTGGTTTTTACTTCAGTTCAGTAAGCTTTCGTGGCATAGCTATCAGATAAACAATATTGCCAAAGCATCAATGATGATGTAATTAAAAATAATGAGATGAACATTTTAAAAAGAAAAAATACAGTTTATTGAGTAGAAAATATTAGAGCATACAAAACAAGAATGACAAAAAAATAAAAATATATGTGTCTTATGTTTCCCTTAACTCGTCACATATCATCACATATTGTGTAGCTGGCTACCCTGTGTGTCCCTCTTCTAATACAATCTGTTGCTTATCATCTAGTTCTGTGAAATTTGGGATTGTTAAGTCTCCTAAGGTAGTTCTGTTTTTTTATTATTATATTACTTTCAAGGTGAAGTTCATCTCTGTTTTTACCTCATCTCTCATTCTGTGACCACAGACTCTTTATTCTGTCTGTAGCTATGACTTCTTGTATTGTCCTTCCTCTGTGGCTCAACGGTGGTCACTGAATCTGTATTTGGTCAGAATCTGTTCCTGCTTTCTATCTCTAACAGTAAAAGATATATTCCAGCAGACAGGAGAGACCTGTTGGGCCTTTATGAGATGCCTGGTCCATCTAGAATAGTCCTGATGACTGAGTGGATCCCAAACTTTGTAGGATTTCACAGTCAAAATTGTATTTCAAATGTCTTTTTTTGTAAAATGTTCTTCTAATTGCACAAAATGCTGCACATGCTCATTGTGTACGTTATAGAACTATCTTAATCTTAATTAAGAACTGTTACACACGGTGTCCCAGCATGGCCCTCACCTTGGAAACCACTTTAGTCCAAAACATTTCAAATTCACCATCAAACAAGGACACAGCTTCCAGTAAATGTAGAGGTGCACTACATGAATCATGAAAAGCAGTAACATTTAAATACTAAATAAATACAGCAGCTGTAGTATAGAACTGTAAGATGACGATGTTTTTTGCCTAACTTTCTAATATATTATCCCACTGTAGTCATTTTATCACCATCATGATCCTCATCTACATGTAGCACAGTCTTTCTTCTCATTGTCAGGTGAGGGGGGCAGTACACCATGACAGCCCTCTGGTTGTGTTAAAGGAACACATTGGGTATATTCATACTGTCTGTTTGGACCAGAAAGACCAGAGAGGCATTATTTCCTTTTCCCTGTGTTTGAAGGTGCTGCTCTTTATTTTTTCTGTGCTCAGTGGTGACCTTCTCTTTGTTCCAAGCAAACATGTTCCTCCCAGTGTCCTTGACTTTTTTTCAGGGAGGAAGAGTGAGCACACGCCCTGTGTTCGTTCAGTAAATGAAGCTTTGCTTGAGAGTTTTACACTCTTTACAGGCGTCGCTCTCCAGTCTGCAGGATGCTGCACTTGCATTCTGTTTGGTCACAGGGCTGGCTGCTGCCCTGCTGCAGGCTGACTGGACCAGCAGTGAGTCCCTGGATTTACAACATGCAAGGAGGAGTGCATGGACACCCCAGGACACATACATGAACAGGTGTTTTTAAAGCTGCTGTCTCATCTCTTGTGGAAGCTAGGGCTGTGAATGATCTGAGAGAGCTTTCCAAATGAGTCCATCGTGTCAACAGGCTCTTCTGTTTGAGCTGCACTCAGCTGATGAGGATTTGCATCTGGTTCAGGGGACAAGGTCTTATCCAGCGTGCTGATCCTGGGAAGGAACTGGGCCAGAGCTGGAACGCCTCGGTCTAAACCCTGCAGCCTCTGCCGATGGTTTCCCAGACTGAGCAGAGCTCCATGACTGTCAGATATGTAGACGTTGTAGCCGTCTGGCAAGATCTGCTCCCTGAAGGTGCAGTCGTCTCTGCTGTAGGTGTGCTGGAAAGGGTGGAAGATGTTCACATGTAAAGAGGTTTTTCAGATGAAATGCACAGTAACAGTGAGAAACTAATGTCTTTGTTGTTGAATCGTGCATGTTGTGTATTTGACTCACTGTAACTTTATTTTGGGAACATATTGATTTTTTTGCTGTGACTGTCTATGTACTGTCTTTATCTGCACTTGTAAATGTGATACGAACATGTTTTTTTGCTTGCAGCAGACATTCCCCTTGTTCCAGTTGTAAAAGAAAAACAGGACAAAAAACTATAATTTCAACTTCAGTACATTAGGTAACATTAGACCTTGTCATATTCCAGGATAGAAATCCTAGAGACACGTTATACAGTGAGGGGAACGAGAAGTGGGGATTAATAAGGGCCCCAGCAGGTTAATCCAACTACAATTTTCAAAACAGCAACGATAATAACTTTGAATTTTCTGTTATATTATATTATTTTGAAGTTGTTTCTATTCCTATGTATCCTTAGAGGGTAGAATCCAGCACGAATAGGGTTTTTGTTTGTTTGTTTGTTTTTTTACTAATTAATTACTTTATTGAAAAGCGAGGGGAAAAAAAACAGACGTAAGTGGTGCTGCAAGTTCTACGATGTCTGTTTACTTTGGACAAAGATATCCAGCCAGAGGTCAAGGTTGTTGTTGCTGCTGCTGGGCCTTTTCATTCAGGTTTTCACTTTGCAAACACATCCTACCCTGCACCACAGTGCACAAAGGTTGATGAACTGGTTGTCTGTTTAAATGAATGACTGACTGGCATGCTCTGTTTTCTGAACATGGAAGCTGATTACCAACATATATCTAGCAAAGGAGACCTCAGGTCACTGAAGCCTGCAGAAATCTTTCTGGAACATCCTCTGACAGTATTCTAGCATTTGCTGTGTACCCGTTTGGATGACAGTTGGGTTTTATGTGCATGTTGTATGTGATTTTAAAACATTTTTTGCAAGGTTTTAAAAGGTGCTATAGGTAAAAGACCACCATTGTGTCACACTTGCTGATTGTAAAATGAGTTAAGAGTGAACAATATTCAGTTACACTGTGTGATTCAGTTTTTTGTCAGACTGTATGAGAAGATTAATGCAGCCAATTCAACCATGTATATGGGATGCCAGTTTATCTCATGAAAGGTTGGACTTTAAGTGCTGAATAATTGAAAAGAGTTCAGTTTCAGTGCTGAATAGAGCTGGGATATCAGCTAAAGTAACCATGATGTATAGAGCTGAAGACTGCTGATCTTAAAACAGAGAGGAGCTGAAGTGTCAGTTGAAGTGTGAAAAATGAAGTAGGTAAATTGTCAAGTCCTTGAAATTCACAACTATGTGAGTGGATGCAGCCACTCAGCTAAGCTCTTCTGTTCAACTACAGATGACACCTAACCAGCTGAAATATTATCTGAGTTGGCTTGTGGGGTTGGATTTTCTTACTTTTAAAGCAATGAGCAAGTGTTAAAAGCAGGGACGGAGCCGAGGGGTGGCCACACCCACCACAGACTAAAGTCTGGCCACCCCACCACAGCCAGCCATCAGCCCGTTACAGGGCTATACATGAACAATGGGAGCTACATCCAGAATATGAACTATTTGTGGCAGAACCATCTGTCAGAACCTTTTCTCCATGACCATTATTTCCATACAGATACATATTAACAATACAACCATCCCACATTCACTTACACACAACCAAGTAGTTCTGACCAACCACAGAAATGTTAACACTGACTCTGTGGCAACTTAAAGTTTTAATATTATTGTCACCAAAAAAGTGCATAGACTTTATAAAATGTGTTTTTGTGTGTATAAAAAATATGTTTTCGCAAGTTTTGCTAAGTGTGTATGGTTTTTATGTTTAACTGTGGGTTTAGTTGGTGGGGACGGTAGGGATGAAACCTACTTTGAAGAGTTCTAGAACCCAAACTGCTGAACAGTGAAGACTGACCCAGAACCTGCAGCCAAAACTAAGAAACAGAAGCCTGAATGGACACAGTGTGACGTCTCAGCTTGGTGGAAGTCCTGAGCAGACCAAGGACACTCTGACATAAGTGTAATCCACACATTTATCTCAACTGTAATTATCTTAAGAGCTTTATCTACAACATAGAAGCACAACTTTACTGGCTAAAGTATTACTTGACAATGACTAACATAGAAAGCATTTTATAGTGTGCATGGGTCCTCATGTACTTTTACATGGCAGACTGGTCTGCATAAGCGAATGATACCTGTAACTGAAAATGACTGAATGAATTTGGTCTACTGAGTTTTGCTGATTTAATTTTTTAAAGACACTGCTGCAGCTCAGTGATGGTTTCAGCCTAGACAGCCCCATAAAACTCCTGCTCTGGTTACCAGTAGTAGCCTGCTGGGTGGTTTAGAATGAACCCTGCTGTGCTGGGATTTAAAGGTAGAAGTATGATTGACTGAAAGATGAGGAGGCAGAGTCCCAGTCAAGTTACAAAGCAAATATAACTAACTAACTAACTAACTAACTAACTAAATAAATAAATAAATAAAAACTAGGAAAAAGAACAGTATAAAAGCAAAGTCATTTTAAAAAGAAATGATCACATTAAATTGAATTCAGAAAAACTCTGGCAGTTGAAATGACAAAGTGAAAGTATTTGTAAGTGCAGTTATTAAATATCAACTTTATAAAATGCAATTATTTGAATAATGTATGCATCCTTTTATTTGCATTCACACACTCTTGATTCCTAATTTGTCCACGTAACCATTTTAGTGTGACATGTGATCCTTCTGAGATTTGAGTTAATCTGGTGTCCTTATTGTGTAATAATAATATTAACAGTGTTAATGAATGCTCACCGATGAGTACAGCCTGCCGTCCCTCTCTATGCACAGGAACCGTGTGGTGGCGACCCCTCTGATGACCACGCAGCCCGGATCCACTGGTCGGATCTCCAGCAGGCCTGCAGTTCAAACGTTCATCAGAATGAAAAGCCCCAGTAAGAGTCCTGCAGCCAGCAACAAGCGTCACAGTGTGCAGCCTGCTGGTTCTGTGTTCTACCCTGTCCGACTTACTGTGCGCGCTCTGGTCCGCGGAGCCGTGGATCTGTCCGTCCCCGCTGATCAGCAGGTGCAGCCCGGGCCTGGCGGCGTACAGGTGCCGGAGCCGCACCACCTGGCCCCAGCCCTGGCTGATGTGGGGCCCCTGGTCCGATAGGGGCATGCATACAACTCCAACAGCAAAAAGCACGTTGGCAACGGATGCGGTGACCACGAGCAGCAGCATGCTTCGTCTATTCCCTGATTGCACGGCGCCCTTACTCCCTCCAGCTGGCAAAGTGAGTGTCCCATCCGAGCGCAGCCTTTTAAATGTGGCCCTTATCAGCAGCAGATAACCCTCATTCCCTGAGCCAGTTCTGAGAAGCACACCACAACACACCCCTGCACGGCATCCAACTGCATCAGAGCTCTGCGCTGGCAGCGGGCGAGCCCAGGTCAGCATGTGGACCACACTGGAGACGCCTGCTGACGTTTTAGAACTGCTGTGGAAGTCTTTTTCACATCGACATATAACGAAAAAAGGTCAGAGGTTTTATGGATTTCAATTTTAGCAGATTGAATGATTTAATTTAGAATGTCAGGTATCACAGTACACCAGCAGCTCAAATCATCAACTGGTTTCCATCGCAGCTGCTGTTCAGAGGACGAGCACAAGTGATGCACTTTTATGATGAATTAGACACAAGTAGTCAGTGCAGAGCTGGACAGCTTCAGGAGGCTCCACAGGACACTGGACACAGCAGCACATGCACAAAGGTACAACAGCAAAATC